GGACACCGGTACCCATCCCTACGCAGGAGTGTTGTTTTCCAGATGGCAGAGACGTTATGGGTGAAATGCACGTGGTTAGCTACAATGATTAATATCAGTTAGCTCAGCTTTTATGTCCTTTTATATTAAGTTTATATTTATTATCATATACTGTATACCCCAATAAAATGCCAGGAAATTATGGAAAAATATATATATTTTCTATCCACGTCTAATAAAAAGAGATATAAATCAAAGAGAGATTCTAATACAGAAGGAAAAAAAACACACCCATCTGTCTCCCCGTGTTAGCCCTGTGACAGACTGGGGACCTGTCCAGGGTGAACCTTGCATCTTGCCCTGTGGTACCAGGGATACCCCCCGCGACCCTGATAAGAATAAGCAGATGAGAATGGGTGGATCCCGTCCCATCAATTATTTGAAGTACTGTACAAAATATCTTGTTCCTACCACTATTAACACTACTTTCAATCTGTGCTTACTTCTGCCTCTGGTGGCCAATTTGGGCCTATTTTTAATCAGCCAAGCGACAGGACTGAACAAGCCCCAGAGGAGACATGGCTATGTGGTTGATGGTATACGCCTGTGGCAATGGGACTCAAAACACCTGAACTTAAAGATTAAAAGGTCAGGTGGAGAACTTCTGTCCTTATAATGTTGTTAGCCCACTGTCCATCCACCCACCGAGCAAATACCACAGTGCACACCTCTGTGGCCCCCTACTCAGGCAGGCACCACACATGTCTGGTGTGTGTGATGTTCCTTCCATGTGACCGTTCATTATTGATGAGACCAGATACATTTTCAGTCTCCCATCGGATGATGAGATCACTGATGAATTCAGCTCTGTGTGTGTGTGTGTGTGTGTGTGTGTGTGTGTGTGTGTGTGTGTGTGTGTGTGTGTGTGTGAGGGCTCCCTACCAAATATTCTAAAGCTGCCCTGCCTCCTCATAAATTTTTAAAACAGGCTGGGCCTCTAAAACTCTGTGCACTTTAAAATGAGAAGCAAAGACAAGGCAGTGCCCCTAAGGTCTGTGATTACAGCTGAAACATAAAGAATGTCAGTCTGTTTCATCAAGCTGATTCAGTCTTTGATCCTTGCTTCTGTTTTCCATGGTTAAACATTCTGCAAGAAATGTTTTCAAGCACATCATAGTTCACATGACAAACTGAACAAAATTAGAAGAACGTGGAAAAGAAGGACACAAAGACCAAATCAGTGGCTAATAAGGTTCTTATGGTTAATGTCATTTAAAAAAAGCTGAACATTTACACTTCCAGCATACTGAGGAAGATGATATGCCTGATGTTGAATTTGTGTCTACTATGGTTGTCAAAAAACCTCAGATATTAACTGATAATAAAACTAATGTTTAAATACTAAATTAATCGTTTGCAACAAAAATGATTTTTTTTTAAAAAATTGCCATCTTTACCTCCTCCAACTGGCACAACAAGCACAGAGCCCCTCCCATCACTTACAGCTAAAGGAATTTAAAGAGGAAAGCAACTACTTTAAGAACATTGAAGTATTAATCCAGTATTATAAATGCTACCCTGGCTGGTGCACATGTAGTAATTATCTGATAGCCACATTAGCCATTTTAGCACAACTAAATACCACGCCCAAAGTGCTCCTCTTCTATATTACTGAAACTATGTAGATTGTTGGGTATTGTTTTAATTGTTGTACCTTTTCTTTATTAGAAGATTCTATGATCAATTACCAAAATAATTTATAAAATTATTAAAACCTCTAAACTTAATCATAAATATGTTTTTTGTTAAATCTAACTTATAAATGGGAAAATTAGTTGAAAACTAAGCAATCAACTACTTCAATAAATAACTTCTTCGCCACTTGGTAAATCTCTTCTGTTATGTGTAACTTGTTCTCTGCCAACTCTTAACGAAAAATGTTTGTTAGCCAGTGGCTACATTTGTTATTTGTCATCAGAGCTTGTTTCCTAAAAACAGCTTCCTTTAGTCTTAAGTGATGGGATTGAAGTTGGGCACAAGACAAGTATAGAACAAAAAACATGAACTGAAAGAATCAAGCTGTGTACAACTGTGGGGTGGGTGTAGTGGTTTAAAAACCTCAATGAAAATAGCAGTGGTTAAAAAATAAACACTGTGACATCTTTCTTTTTATTACTACAACCTCCCTTTGTCTGGTGTCTGTCACGATTTCATGCTGGTGACAAAAACAACAATTTCCTTTATTCTGCTAGGTGCCTTCAGTGTAAGGTTCAACACCATCTAAAAAGCAAACTGCATCCTCACTGGTGAGTCATTGCAAGATATAGAAAACACAGAAAATCAACACATCTTGTTACTGACTACCACAAAAGATTATACGACTCTGTCCGGTTATGTACTGTACAGCTCGGGAAACCAGCATTGTTAAATACACAATTCACTAAGCGCTGGACTCAATTCCAAGCGTGTGACTGTTGTAGCTGTTATCTATCCATAAGATCGCCAAGAAATTGTTAAATTGGACATTTTGCAATTTTTCTCCTTCAACATATAGCTGCTAAAATGATCTTAGAACAAGAACAATATACTATATGCGATCTACACACTAACTATACCTTAACCTGTTAGCAGTCGGACGTACCGCCCACGGTACATTGGATGGTTTAGGGGACTAATTGGACTGCTAAGGGGTTAACTTTTGAGTAACATCTAAATTTTTAGCCTAAATGGTCTCCTACAGGATCTGTACTGTCATTAGAAGAAAATTGCACAATAAGGGGATTGCATTTCTGTCCTTCTTTCTTTTTTTCTTAAATAAAGCAACAGTGCAATTATTTTGCCCCCTAATCACTGGTTGACATACTGAGGAGATAAACAAGAAGCAGTGCGAGCGAATCACAATCTCCTGATTCTTATAGAACCTTAACAGCCTTAACTTTAAATTGCAAGTTTCGACCAGTTCCTTGCTCCAAAAGAAAGTTAATCTTCTTAGACTAGATATGTAAAATGATGTATGTATGCCAAATGCTTTGCTCTAAAACAAACATGCTTAGATGTCCAAAAGTGAAGATGCTTGGCCATAATGGACAATATAACATTTGGAGAAAAATAAACAAACCCTAATCACCCCATATCAACTATAACACCATGGCAGAGAGGTAATGAATGACTGTACTTTGCTAAGGCTTGGCCAACACTGGCACATGCAACCGGACAGTGATCACAACAACAGAAGCAAATCTACAATAGAAAGACTGAAAACGTATGGCCCAGTCCAAGTCGAGACGTCAACCCAACTGAATTGCTGTAGCACAGCAAAATCCCGGCAACTGCAATGAACTGCAGGTATATGGTAAATTAGACCAAAGGACATGAGATTTCCAAATGGAGGGGAGTGACATTACTAGGACCAGTGAGCTGTCTCTTCCAGCAGCAAAACAGTTTGTTTGCGCTTCCTGAGAGTGACAACACGTGAGATTTGTTGTTGGCTGCGCTGTGAGATTTGTCTTTTTTGCCATCCATGGGGCCATTTTGGATTCTGCGAGGCTCTTCAAGGAGATGAGTCATCTGTCTTCACACACATAGACACTTCCAGCAAAAAGTGCTCACATTCAGCAATGTGAGCTATAATTAGCTCCCAGGATAGCAAGACAAGAAAAAAAGAGTACTGTGTGAAAAAATATTCCCACCACTCTGCATTATTTGAGTCATTTTTGTCCCATCAGTCAAGTCACTGCCTCACTAAAATGATAAAATATAACTCACAGAAATAATGAAAAAGGAAAAGAAAGATAGAATCTTATTTACTCACACAAATGCCCTGTGAAAAGCCTCTCGCCCTCTAGTTGCCTTGGTTACAGCAGTAGAGTTAAATAGAAGATGATGATCTGACAGAATAACAAATTTAACTCTATTTATTTTCTCCTTCAGCACCACTCCACTACTATTTCTCTTATAGTTACATGTATATATTCCTTACTCAGTTCTGTTAGTGACCCCCTCATTTCTATTCTTAAAAACAAAACAAAAAAAAAACTCCCAAAAAAAAACTCTTGGTGGATTTCAACAAACAGTAAAAAGCTCAGAGTGAATAATTTAGATGCCCAGGATGGATTGGGGCAATCGCATGCGATCACATTCAAAGTTCTTTCAGCGAGCGCCTCCGACACCGTCTGTCAGGCCTGTCTGCCTCGGGCTCCTGTTCTCTGCTGGCAGGAAGCTGAATGCAGCAGCTGTTCATTACAAAACACTACAGAGAGGAGAGACTGACCCTTAGCTGTACTCAAACTTTGACAGAGTGTCGCCGAAAGGAGGCAAGCCCAATTTTTGAAGGATCGCATGATGAGGTTGACGAATAACACTGGAGGTTATGCATGAGTGGAACGTACAATATGATATAATTTTTTTTTAAAAACGTTGTTAGATAGAGTTAAAAGGCTTTGGTGTACGATCATTTTGACCTTGTTTGTCAGCGGCCTTTTCAAGTGGACGACCATCTGATGTAACTTAAAAGCTTCCCAAGACACTCAGAAAGTTCCCAAAGTCCCACCACAAAAATAATGTCATAATCTTTGCAGGAGGACTCACGAATGCTTTCTATAAATGACAAATAGCATACACAAACAATTTGAACCTCCAACCCAGCTTTACATAACTCAGCGGATCCTCTAGTACACTGCAGCTCTCATTCAGAGCTGCTGATAATTTTTTTCACCAGCAGCTGATAAAGAATAACTTGAAGATGAACACTACATCTGCAGCTATGACAAGACATCTGCCAAGAAGCAGCTCTTCATGGGGCCATCCTACCTTTATATCTGGGCCATTGCAATTGAGGCTCATCCCACACTCATCTGTGATCTCTGTGATTTCGGAGAGGTCGTCGTCCTCAAATTCATCAAGGCTGATGTCATGGGTCAACCTGAGTGAAAGGGTAGATTAGGGTGAGAGGGACAAGAAGAGGATAGCGCATAGATGAGTCATATATATTTAAAAAAAAAATATATATATATATATATAATCCTCAAGCCATAGTACATCTCAGAATCTCTTGTTGACCCAGTTATTTGTATCTCCTATGCTCAGTCCAATGACAATTTGAATATAGGTCGCTATAAATGACCAAAATATAACAAGCATAGGCATCTACATTAATACTTATAAGAGATAAACAGATCTAAAGCTATTGTTTTGTGTCATAGTACTGTTCCTAACAAATGGAAACATGGCGTTTGACTCTTATACCACATAGTTTTATACACTTCACTCAGACCTCTAAAGGATTTGTATTTAGTATTAAAGCACTTACTAAATGTTTCAAGCACTGATTTCAGGCAGATCTAAATCAAGCACTACCTGCTCGTTTAGAGCAGAAAACAATGAGCATCCAGGATTTTATCGGCCTGTTTTATTTTGTGAATATCTCCATCTGCTGTTTGTAAAAGTGATTTTCTTTTGGCACCACTACACTTCATTCATCACAAGTGGGACTAAAATTAATACACACAGCATAACTCTTTTTCTTCTCCTTCTCATACTTTGTCAGTGACAATGAGCTATAGGGTGATTATTCAAGGAAAGTAATGTATTACACATAATTCATTATAATGTATCATGCTACTTATTTAAAGAAGGTAATGCCTTACACCACTTGTAGCATTACCTTTGGATTACTCGTTGGATTCACTGTCACATAAAGCCACCACTGGCAAAAATGCAGAATAGGAAACTAAGAAAAGTGAACTTGTGTTTTGCAGAGAAGTACAAACGTCTTGAATGCTCCTGCAGCAGAAAGGGAAATGTACGGTCCTGCTGTCTGTGGCAGGATTCAATTAACATCCAGTAAACAATGGTTCAGTTTTCCCCATCTGCAATTATGGCTGCATGTTGTCCCTTTACCCTGTAGCCTCCGGGCGTAACAGAATGAGTCAGAGCAAAATGTTATTTGAGATGCAAGACAAAGACGACAGAGCATGGGAGCAAGCCGTCAAATAAACCTTGTAAACCTGTGCAGCTACCATCCCCCCACTGATGCATCATGGTAATGTCATTTCTGACTGCTAGCGTGAGTGTACATACAGCTATTACAGTCTTTAGCCATCACATGTCAGAGGATGGGAATAGAAAGTTAAATAGCCTGAGAAAAAGCATCTGTTACCTCCATAATGAAGCCCTGAAGGAGGTGGGAGATACAGACTGAAGGAAGGACAGAACAAAGTGAACAAAAGAAAAGAAGACAATGGGAAAGTAAAAAAAAAAAGGAATACATGTAAAATAAAAAACTTTTTACAACACAGCTATACACAGTGTATGTGAGTAACTTAGATGACCTTAAATAAAACTACTTGTACTGGTATTTTCATTTTTAGGCAATTTGTGGTGAGGAAATATTGATTTACATCATCATTATCCTTAAATCTTTTTCTGACACTAAAACCTATATATCATAGGTTAATGATTTTATTCAGACTAACCTATAGGTAAAAATACCTAAATTTAAAATGATGAAATAATGTTAGCTTGTTAGTTTGTCCAATTACGTTTGAGCACTTGGGGGAGTGTGTAGAAAACTGGCAATAATTCCTCAACAGTTAATGCAGTACTTTTGGAAACCCACTCAATCAAAGCCAAAATTCTGAACTTTAATCACATCTTAATTGTTTGGTTTGAAGCACCCTGTGGTGGTGTACAGGGGCAAATACAAAATGTTAATAATGTTAGTCCTGCAACAGGTTGACAACCTGTCCAAGACAACCTGTAACCCTGGGCTATTTCACCACAGGTTTGCATATATTATTAAACTACAACTGAGGAAAAGTTATCAAATACCAGACTGAATATGCCCTCTGACCAAAGCTATCAAAAAACAACATTTTAACTGGTTTAAATTGCAAGTTTTGAGCAGTAATCCGGGCTTTTCAAGGGATATTATGAAACGGTGAGTCTACAGAGTTATAAGTGAGAGGGACTGAGTCCATAACAATTAAGTCAACAGTGAGAAAAGTGTGAAGATGGAGAGAGTCATGGAGGGAGGTGGGAAAAAGAAATACTTTAAAAAATAAACCTCTTTGTCTGCAGCCAAAGAGAAATTCCAACAGAGTGTATACCACAAAGCAAATTACATTGTCACACGTCGAGGTTCACAGGGTGAAGGGTTGAACAGTTCTCAGATAAGATGGGCTGCACGGGTCACATCGCAGTTAAATAAAAACGGAATGCAATTATTTGCAAATCTTATAATCCCACATATTTTCTTCAAAGTAGAAAACAGATAACTTTTTGAATTTGATGGCAGCAACAAGTATCACAAAAGTTGAGACAGGGGAAACAAAAACCTGTAAAACTATGTGGTAGTAAAACAAAACATCTGGCAACAGGTGAGTAACATGATTGGGTATATATAAAAAAATAATAAATCTTGTGGCGGTAGAGTCTCACAAGCAAAGAAGGACACAGGTTCCCCAATCTGCAAAAAAACTCCAGATATAAATTCTGCAACAATTTGTTACTCAGTATAAAATTGTCACAACTTTGAATATCTCATCATCTACAGTATATACAGTAACATCATGAAAAGATTCAAAGAATCAATACTGGGTGCTTGTGATCAAAACAGCATCCCAACTTTTCTAAAATTGGAGTTGCAAATGCACTCATTTAACAGTTGATTAGGTACACTCAGCTAAAGCTAAGACGATAATACAACAGTTCTCCAATAAATCCTCCCTTCATCAATGTTAAGTTTTCAGTTCAGTGGAAATTTTGCTAAAGAATTTTATTAGGTAGTACAATAAATTATTATGAATCATGTATTTTTTGCCTAAGCATTATAAATGGGATAAGCAGTAGAAACAGCTGCCAGTTTCACACAATCCAATCAGCAGCTGTCCATTTATGGGCTCAAATTGTGGTCATAAATATTTTGTATGTGTAAATCAAATGCATATTTGTGTACTGAGCTTTGTAACATGGTAAACCAAAATATCTGAAAGTTTTGTGTTTGTGCATCTACAGATGAGAATTTGTGTGTGTGTAAAAAAGATTTACACGAGTTACAAAATGTTTTGTTAAGATCTGGTTACAGATACAAAGCAAAAAACTACGTGTAAACCTCTGCACTCAGGTTTCCTGGCTGCGTGTGGATTTCAACTTAGAAGTACAAATTTTGACCTGATTTTTCTTCCTTTCAGCTGATTGGTCAATGTCATGTCAATTACAAATTTGACAATCCAATCAGACAACAGATGGGTTTGGCTGTTGGAGTGATGCTTTACTGAGCTTCAGGTCCTGGAAGAATAAATGCCCTTTTACATGCCAGCCCACCATTTTCCTTCATCACCAGGAAGGAAAACAGTCTGTGTGTGTCTGAGTTCGGCCACAGGTTTTTTGTGTCACAGGTTTACGCGTTTATGCAGAAACCTCCAGTATGGGCTACTCCAGAGCCTTTTCAACAGCGCTGCAGACCTCGGGGGGAAAGCTGTGGAAATGACACAGTCTTCACTAGTGGGGATAGTTACAAAGCTTTCTTCGTTATGAATTAGCGATACATGTTTTTGTTGGATATTTGAAGATAAAACAACACAAACTCTTGTAGAGGACATAAAGTCAGATACAATTTTTATACTTTTATACAATTTTTATACTCAAATACAATATTTTTTTAAACACTAACAACTGAATTTAAAATTCACCTTCCTGAAATTGAATTTGTATTTTTGAAAATTGTAATATTAATAGATTGAATTCTATTTAAATGTGTACACTGATCAACAGGAAGTTTGCTGGACCAGATTATCTAGGCAGTACTTGATGTGGTAAGAAGACTGTCATTGTTCCATAGTGCCACAAAAGTATACAGTGTTTGGATTGATCTTAATCAGTATGTAATGGTAAGGTTTTGACCCCCAGCCCACTGACACAGTCCAGCTCTATCGACCTTTCAACATATGTCTGCAAACACTCGATGCACCTTTGCTAGCTTTGCCTTGAGGCAACTGTTGTTGTGGTTTGGCAATGAATAAATACAACTGAAAACAAATGGAATTCCCTTGGGATTATATTCCTGCACTATGTATACTCATCATCTCGCTACACTTACAACCCTACCAGCGATCAATGCAGGCTGACTCAGCAGACTGCTTGGGCTGTCCAGGTCAGAGATTCCTGTGACACATTTACTGTGTCATCATTACTGAAAGTGAAACATGGCAAATAGGGTCAAGATGTAGTAACAACCGGCCGACATCAACATCATCACCATGACACAGCAGAGAAAACCAAATAAATTCAGCAACAGCTCACACAGGACGGGACTCGGGATTCGACTTGGAAACTAAAGGCTTCATATTTTCAATTTTTAACAATTTTGGCAAAGTTTAGAAAGAACAATTCAAAAGTAGTTCTGTAATAAAAAAGAACACATGCAAGGATTGAAAATTGACTAATATGTCTCAAAACATAAATTTCTCTCTACAACATGTCAAAAAAAACTTCAGTTCACCTCTCCTTGGCTGATTTGAGCATTTCCTGCTCAGATCTGTGATTTTGATCCCATTCTCAGCACATTTTATCTTTCTGCTGAGATTATTTAATTTGATTATTCGCTTTAAGTGATGTGGGTTTTAAACTGTTCAGCTTTTAAACGGTCCCTGCAGACAAGTCCCATCAGCTCATGTTGTAAAACAACTTCAGATTGTAACAACACTGCAGGACGGATGTTTCAGTTTTATATCGCTAAGGATGTGGGACAAACTGCAGCATTATTGTAACAGCAGGTGGTGACAGGGCAGCTTGCTGCCATGTTTGTGTCTGCTCGGCCTGTCTCTCTGCTTGTGTTAATGAAGGGCAGAATGACCTCACGCTCAGGCCATGATGTGCTTGGCCAGCTCAGTAATATATAAATATCTCTATATATGTATGTAT